TCAGTGACAAAGTCAGTGGTAGCTCTCTGGTCATTTCCTATGGAAATAAGCTGTTTTGAAGAGATTAGTTTTTCCTTATACATGATATTCATGAATTTATAGCAGCCATATAATTACCAACTAGAACTGCAACCGGAAAGGTTGGGCAGAATATTGATCTCTTCCCATCTGCTAATGGCCGCTGCTCCCCTGCACTGATGGCAGGAAGCCTCCTATTAGGTTTTTACTGCGTTCCTTGAAGGGAAGAAAAAAAAAAAAAAAAAGAAAAAGATCATAGGGGCACGTGTGAAAAACAAAGCTTGTCCCACTTAGAGACTGCCAGCTTTGGCGTTTGGCAGTGCCAGTTAGGCGGCCCACGTTTGGGGTGGAGCAGCAGGGTGGCTGGGAGGGCAGGGCGATGCGCATAGGGCGGTGATGGATGCAATCCCCGAGCAGGAGGGGGCCAGCAGCCCCTCGGAGAGCTAATCCACTTGGCAGCAGTGAGATGGCTCCATGAACGAGCTAAGGCAGACTGACACAATGGCCTGCGAGGTATTAAAATGTAGGAATTAAAAACTGTTAAATTGCACAGAGGGATTCTTAACCTCAGCCCTTTGGCAACAGAGTGATGTTTCTTCCCTTTTCTTCTCTCTTGCCCCTTCTTGTAAGCACCATACATGTTTGATTTATTGCTTTCCAGATGCCTCACCGATCAGACATCACTAATTCTGGATGCCAGTTCCTTGCTGTATACAAACCCCATTAATGACAGCTATAAACCGTCTGAAGGACTGCCTCAAAAATAACCTCGCCTCCTGCTCCTTGCCCAGCTCCACTCAATGGCCATCCCGGCTGCATCACAAAAAGCACATCTGCATTCACAGACCTGAACCTTTTGATCCTGACAGGGCTGTGCAGGCTCCCACAGATTTGAATGAGAAAGGTGAGGCTATGTGTTTTTAAATGGACAAGCTAGCGTTCAAAACCATTTTCAACCTGGGCCACTGTTTGCCCTGCAGCTTATGTGGATGTGCTTCCTCTTTTTCTTTCCCTGAAGCACATGTTCTCCTCGGGCTGAACACCTGGGAAATGCCAACAACCGGGCATCACTGGTGCAGGGCTGCCAGGAGAGGCTTCTCCCCTTGCTGGTGGCTTGGTTGGGTTTTGTGGCTTTTAAACAGCATGACATTTTAAAAGTTATTAGAGCATTAATGCTGCTTTTTAATGAACAATGCTTTATAGAACTACTGATACGGAATTAACATAAGTTTACCTCTGAATGCAAGTTGCTGGGTTTTTTCTTCTTTCTATTTTACTATCCATTACTTCATTAAATCAACACTGAGAAAGACTAGCCTTGCCAAATTTCTCACTGCACATTCAACTGTTTGCCCATGACAGTATTTGAATGCGCTTATTATTTCTAGTAAAGCCCTTATCATTTTCACTGTGAAATTTAAATCACCCTGATCCAACTCTTCTTAGCTAAAGTCAGCTTTATCAACCACAAGAGATGTGGGATTTTAAAAAGATCTGAGTAAATTCACATTGTTTGGATAAACTCATTCAGGGGGTTCAGCAAATGAAAGCTGAAATAGATATGTATTCCAAGGAGGCTAAGGGCTGCTCAAAAACAAAGAAAAGAAAAAAAGAAAGAAAAAAAAGAAGTTAATGGTATCAGTATCTTTTTAATGAGGGCTTTCCCAACCCAGGGTTTGAAATGGTATTTCTGTGCTTCCACAGCAATTCCGGTGAAAAGGTGAAAAATAAAAATAAAACAAAGCTGTTTGCACAAAAAGAAATGTGTTCCCTACCATCTACTGATGTGCTGTCCGGTCGGCGCTGCTCTATCAAAAATGTTAAGGACCACATTTATGCATTATCCCACAGTTTAAGTAACTGTGTATCATGTATATTTAAAACCATCTCTCTGTAGTTTTAATTATCTCAGTCTGCAGGGACAAAATGCAGCTCCCATGCCTGAGACCGAAATGAAAGTGCTGCACGCTGACAGCTAAGATGTCTGTCCTAGCTTGTTGAGATTTCCTGTAAAATTTGCATTGAAAAGGCAGCTTTAAATATACTTAAAATAAAAAGAGCATTTGCATCTAATTTGCTACACTTGCAGTATTAAAGTTTTATCTGAATAAAGACATGTCAAATGGATTTATATAGTTAAGCTGATAGCTTTTAAAGTCAACACAGTAACATCAGCTAAATTCAACAAAGTAATGGCAGCAGCTAATGGCATTTATTAGTTTATCATCATTTACTTAAAAACCATAACGCAGATCATTTTATTTTCACATTACTGTTTGTGATTCTTTGACTCAGTTTGCATTGATTCCACAAATTATGGCAGAAACTGACATTTATCTAACAGTTTTCCAAGCTATGAATGTTGGCTTTAGTAGGAAGCAATTGAACTCTCGCCACACAATGGTTTCAGCTATGCTAGAAACAACCATCTTCAAATAAACACGTTTGGCAACCATTTTAGAACATGATTGTTGCTTGTCTGAGGATGACAGAAGGTTTTTTGTTTCTGATAAGGCTCTTATAACAAACCACTGCCTAAGTAATCTACAGCTTGATCAAACGAACTGCTAAACGCATTCATCCCCAACCTAGCAAAGCACTGATTAGGTTTTGTTTTCAATATATGCATAATAGCAAGCAAGGCTTTTCACAGTACTTCTCTTCTTCAAAAGGCAAAAGACCCTCCCTCCTCAAAAGGATCACTGTTTACACACAGGGAAACTGAGGCAGGAGAGAATCCAAATCACACCCGATGCTGCAGTGGGACTCAAAGCACAACGTTGCAAATCCCAGCTCAGTGGGATTATTTTTTACTTATGTTTTACTGCCACCTTATGCTCCTGTTGATTTCAAAGTGTCATCATCACTTGACCGGACCTCAGCAGAGCTACTTGCCAAAAGCACATGCTTGTGATAAACACTGTTGAAGGGGCCTAAGATGAACAGTCAAGACACTGTAAACCCATGGGAAAAAGCAAGGCTTATGAAAAATACACTCAACTCTGCTACAGTGCCCTGTTTCTCCATCTGTTTAATAGTAATTACTCAGTACTAAAAGTTTACCAGGAAATACTAAGCAACGTTTTATTGCCACCATAAAAACTAGGCACCCACACAGTTTGATTTGTAAATATTTTGGGTGCGGACATCTACATGTCATCACTCAGTTTTATAACTGCACTTGAAAATGACATCAGAAGTTTCCAATCATGAGATTTACTCTCCTTCTCAGTGATATCTATGCCTGTTCCTCAGTTGAAATAAAAACACAACTGAGGTTGGAGATAGGATTGATTTTCAGAGCTATGCATGGAGGTCAAAATTCTTGCTAATGAGAGGCCCATGTCTAATTCCCCATGACATATCCTAAACCCTTAATTCCAAAGAGATCACCAGCTTCTTTTTTTTTTTTATAGTAGGGCCATATTCCCAAGAAAAAAGTGACAATCAAGTCACATTTGGCAAGAATTGGAAATGATTGTGCCTTCTTCACGCCATTTATTACAACTCTCCCACTCCAACAGGCTTTGTTGCAGTGTGTCCTCACCCTGAACTCTGGCTTCTATTTCTGTACACATTTGTAATTCCCTGGCCCTGGGCTGGAGAGCACAAACCTCTGGCTCACCAGAACAGCCTGATACAGCTGGAGCAATGGATCCTGAGGCACAGCCATCCTTCTTGAATCGCCATCTCACAGCTGGCCAGCTTTCTTTTGGGCAACGAGGAGCAAATGGAACTAAACATTGCATTACCTTCATCTGGAGCCCCAGACCGACCTCACTAAATTCAATAGCAATTCTGTTCTTACTTTAACAGCAGCTGAATTGAGCATTTATAAGGTTTTATTTTATTGAATATTACTAATGAAGAGCTATCACAAAAAGCTGAGTAAAAATGTTCTTTTGCTTCCTGTATAAACTGTCTTCCTTTGGCTCAAGGAGCATAGCTGCAACATACTAAAAATGCATACCAAATCTTATGGCTATTTCACTCATGCCAAATAGAATGACAATCCCAGAAGCATCCACTGTGCCAGAGAGACCAGATGTTTCCTCCTCAGGGCTGGAGGGGAGATAGTGCCTCTAGCAAGACTCGTCCCAAGGAGAATATTGTAGTCACCTGAAACAAAAGCCTAGATCCAGGTAGCTACATTACTGCAAACTGCATCAACATGTAAGAGCTAGGACAGCCAAAGGGAGGAGGGTTATATTCAAAGTCTGACACAGAAAAAGAAACCTCTTGATTTTCATCCAAATGCAAATAGAAAACCAACGCAGCTGCTGAGGAACTGGTTCCTGCCAGCTCCACCTGAGAAACAGGGCATTTTGCTCCGCAGTATTCAGCGCTTCCATGTGGCTTTGAGGTACAGCCCCTAAGCAGTTCAGTTTGACCTGAAAACCTGAGGGCATGTGAGAATTTTCCCATCCCTGATCGCAGACAGGCTGGAGGAGCTGCTCTGAGCTCGGATCCCTCTATTGCAACATGAAGTGGAGCAACTTCACCAGGTTCACATCCTTTTAGCTGCATCTCACTGTGTTATAGTGAGCTTGCCTTCTATTTCATTCTTATTATACTTCAGACAGCTTATTCGTAACTTGTGCTAGCAGCAGTCATTCTCCACTTTCATTCTAACCTCCAGAGGCCATTCCTACTCCACATGGGTATGAAATAGCATCGCCCCAGCTGGTGTCTGTTCTCCAGCAGGCATGATGATGTCAACAGGGCCACAAATTCAACTGATGCAAATTATCCTAAATTAATTTACTTTCGTGGAGCTCTTGGTGTTTTGTAATTGTGTGCAGAGCAAAAATCCACCATTTCAAGCTTCATTATGAAACAAGTACTACATTAGCATCAAGCATGGAAAATCTCAGAATTTCCCTTTAATGACCCTGAAGATTATATGCACCAAGAAAGTAGTGGAAAATCTGTTGTAAAAATCACCAAATATATTTAATAGCTAAAATCTAGGCATTCTTTAACAATTCAAAAAGCAAAACCAAAAAAAACCCTATTCATCAACCAGGAAGCAGAAGAATCAGTTATTTATACCATTATGTATATATTATACCATGCCTGAGAGACAGAAGGCAACAGAAACACAAAGTTCTCAGGCCTGGAGACAGCATAGGCTAGGGAAAAGGAAAAAAACAGCAAATGGGCAAGTACAGCCATATTACAATATGTTACATATAAATATGGAAATGACTGAAAAATCTCAGGATATATTTATTGACTGTTGCAGTCTATTCTTTGCTCACCCTTGGCAACCCTTTTAGTCACTACACATCACCTTCCAACACTGGGAAACACTTGTAATGGGGACTTGCTTTTCAGTACCTGCAATGGCAGCTGGAGAGAGCTTACATGAGCAGAGCCTTCTGTGGGCTCCTGCTGCTCCCTGACCACGTGCACTAGGTGCACAGAACACCATAATTCCGAAAAGGCAAACTGCTGCTGCCTGAATCAACTGCAATGGCTTTAACTCTGCATTCACAGAAAATGTTCTTCAAATCATCCTTAACCTTTTCTTTTATTTCAGCCTCTGCATCACCCCAGTCTGCCCCAGTACACGTGCATCTCCCAATAACCGCACTTGGCTTAAGCTTGAAAAAAGACCTCTAACACTGCCTGACCTCAGCACAAGAAGCAGAATCCCATTTCCTCTCAAAACAGTTGTGGAGATGGAAGATGCTGCAACTTTGCCCACTGTATCAGCACACGCCTATATGTCTAATCAGTACTGTTACAAAACCTGGAGAAGCGCCCATGTAATGAGAATAATGCATGACAGGAGGACATAAAAAACTAATCAAGGCAGCTGCAGTTGCGATAGCGTTTCTACAAGAAGGTCATATTACCTCCTTAGATGTGAAGATTGTGCAGAACAAAAGCATCTTCTTTCACAGGAGCTGGAAGTCCTCTACGAATTACATGTAACTTTCTGAAAAGAAACCAACAGAAATATTGTGAATACATTTCTTTTGTGGCAAAGAAATTAACTCAGTACGTAGAACTGGATTTCACTGAAGATTTTAACAAAATGAGTTCTTGGAAAGTTTCTCTTGAAGGACACTGACCAATTCTGTAGCCTTTATAAAAATGGTCAGTTCACTGGGTGATAGTTAGATGAGTTTTTTATTGGGCTAACTTCCATTACACTTCCAAAGTGTACCAGAAGTGATTACACTTGTGCTCGTCTATTAAAAAAAAAACAACAGCACCTTAGTATCTCTATTTCCAAAAAACAGTACCCACCCTGGATCCTCCCCTCACAGAAATCTTCAAGCTGGGGTTAACAGCCCTTCTTCCTTCTTTCCCTTCTAGCCTATTAATGACAAGCTTGCCCTCTTTTTACAGCCAAACTTTTGCCAACAACAAAACCTTTGTGAGATTTAAAGGAATGAATATGCAAACTACACAACCTCCAAGCCGCTAAAAAGGAAGAATAACAATAGAATGATAATTAAAGCATTACCATTCACTTTGTGGACTGATTGCATGCTCCCCTCTCCCTTCAGAACCTGCCTTTCATTTATAGTTGAGGGAGCAACAGAAATCTCTTGGCCTGGGCTGCTCATCAGTAAGGCCTAAGACTTATGTATGTTCTGTCCATGGCTCTTGGGCTCCCATGTATGCATTTACTGAAGGATGATTATTGCATTACATTTTTGAATACCAAAGATTCAGGTCTTGATAAAATGTTTTACTTGCTTATCATCAAGCAATGGCCAAGTATAAAAGGAAAAAAAAAAGAGGAAAAAACCTATCTTCAGTGATCTGCTAATCAGTCTTCCCTACTACAGTCTATTCTATTGTCTACATTTGAGATAATGAATATTAAAATTGCACAATTCATCCCACAGGGTGTTATTCAAATTATACAGAGCACAACACAATCCCTTTTCTCTGCTGTTGAAATTCTGCCTTCTTTAGGATGGAAACACAGGAAATATGGATGAGCAGAACATAACGCTGTACAGCAAAAGAGGAGAAACAAGCAGCGAATATAGGAGGGCAAACCCTTCATCCTACAGAAAAATGAAAAAGCCATAGGATCTCTGCAACCTAACTTGTTATCATCAGCCACTGTGCTTCAAATCAAACATGTCTGCCTGCAAACCACAGCCAGTCAACTGCAGGCAACAGAGAAAGTGGCAAAAACAGCGTGTAGGTTCCTGAAGTTTTCACATGTATTTTAATACTTGTGCAAGGCAGAAAGAGGTATTTTATACCCAGATGAAGAGGACAAGCACATGCTTGCATGCTCAGACCCAAAAGGCAATCCTTCCTCTACAGTATGCAACCCTGGAGAGGCCAAAGGTACAGTCAGCCTAGTTGGGTAGCCAGCCTGTCTGGGAATTTGGTGTTTGGATACCAGAACTGTCTGCTCTCTAAAAGTCAGGGTGTGACCAGGGGTTTCACTGTACTTATATTTTAAAATAAAATTCCTTTAGAATGGCAAAAATTCACACAGACAGCAAGTTTGAGCAGAACTTTTGAAAGTGATCCAGTTCCTAGAAATTAGTGGCAAAACTGCTAAAGGGTTTGGTGAGAGAAGGAGCAGGCAAAGAAGGTGGGTACACCTGCACCCCACGGCTGCAGCCCTGCTCAGCACCCCTTCCTTCTCATTCAAAACAGCTCTGTAGAGGGCAAAATCCATCGTTTAAAAGAAGTGGGGAAAATACAGCACATTGTGTTAAGTTCCCTCCTTTTCAAAGATATACTGTACAGGTCATAATTTATCCTTTTTAATAAAAAAGAAATAAATTTACCTTTTGAGTGTCATTTCTGACCACTGCTGCCTGTTTGCTAAAGCCGCAGGGCTTCGCAGCAGACAGCCTGATGGAATTCCAGTTCACAGCTTAATTTTCCTCCTGATAAAAGAGACAAAAAGTTCCTTTCAGTAAAAATAAAATTTAATACGGTCCGCAAATTTGATATATTACAACCTCTGACCTCAGCTTAATTGTTCACAAAGGGCTAACGGTACCACTGGCAAGTAAATGACTTCTACAGAGTGTTGCAACCCTGATAGCTCAAGAGAAGGGGAGCAGCCGCCTGACAGATAATCAAAATTTCTAATGTGAACCATAGTGAGAGAGGTTATTCAGAGCACACCCAGAATGTAGGAGCCTTCCACAGCTGCCACCATAGCTCCTTAAGATGAGAAATGCTCAACCATCATCCTCACTCAACTTGGTTGAGCAACGGCCTGGGATTTATAGAGACGCTGCTAGAATTTCTTGGAGGCTAAGCCTGCCTGTAGTTCTATGGCCCTGAAGAACTCTTCTTAGAGCTTGACAAGGAACCAAGGGAAAGACAAAGAAAAGGTCCTCCATGGGCTGCAGCACTTCAGGATAACCCTGCTCCTGAGGGCTGCAGTTCCTGCACAGAATATCCTCCTCCTCCTCCCCCAGCACAGGTCCTCCCTGGGCTGCAGCAGGGACAGTTGCTCTTGCATGGTCCTGTCCAAAAAGCTCCTTAAGTTCTTGTTGTATTGAGAGCACACAAAGAAAACTATCTGAAGCTCAGAGAGAGCAATCAGTAAGTTAGTTTAGCTCACTGTCTTTATTTGATTGCACAAAAACAGGAAAATTACCTGGCTGTCCCAGCTGCTGGTTTGGTAGCTAATGGAGAGCTGGGTCAGGGGTGTGTGCAGGTGCATTGTTCTGAGGCAAACTCAAACCAGTACCAACCACTCTTGTCCCTCTAGGACATCCAGAAGCAACTGACAACAAAGTATTTACTCCCTGTTAGTCTGGGTAGGATTTTGGAGCAGCAGAGTATCACAAAAAGAGCTGTATTAAAAATACAGCAGCAATAAGCATGCATGTCTGTGGAGCACCTGAAGCACTGAACTGTGCACACATTTACACCTCAGCAGGCACAGGTCATTAACAGATGTAGTTACACAGAATGTACTGAACACAGTTTCCTCCTTCCCCTCCTATTCAGCCCAGGCTCAGTGACATCAAATATCTCCCACCAAGCACCTGCAGCACTGGCAGGCACACTTAGTGCTGCATCTGTGCTGCTGCAGACTTCCTGGGATAAACTGCTGTGGCTGTCCCACCCACAGGGCAGCACCACCAGCCCAACACACTGAGAGCTACAAAGCACCAGCCAGCTCCTTGTTTGGCCTCCTGATAACAAGTAGAAGAGATGGTGAAACCACTCCTGCCCTAGCATTGGGGAAAGACAGCTGAGCTACCTGCATCTGCTGACCAATGAGAAAGAGCACTGCAGGATGAGAGTATCTGCAGATCACCAGTTTCTTCCTAAATTAGTGATGCTGAAGTATCAAGCAGCCAATATTTCCATTGGTTGTCTCAGTAGCACCGGAAAGCAACTACCAAAGCCTTCAGAAGTTCATATTTCAATTTTAAATCTGAGGCTATTTTAGCTAATGTCCCCAAGGCAACCGTCTGGTCAAATGTCAGAGTTTATGCTGCTGAATGAAATCTCTCTGTTTATGAGATCTCTGTAGTTTGGGAAGCAAGTCAGACTCCAACTTGAGCTTCTAAGATTATACTGGGCTGTGGATATCTTCTTTTTTCCCTACTCTGCTTGGATCGTATCTGAATCTTCCCATATTCCTACAAATTACTGAAAGTCTCTTCATGTTTGAATACCAGTTGGATTGTTGAGGGATTTTCCTCCACTAATTCATTTATTAAAAGAAAAAAAAAAAGAAGAATCTTTCCACTAATACTGTTTCTGTATGCTTTCAAGTCTAGGATCTTACAAATTCATAATTCTGGCTTTTGTTTTGTTTGTTTTTAAGCAAAACATTGCCTGATCTCTTAAGATCAATGCCAAGTTTCATTTCAGCTTTCTGATCCCAAGGATTCCCCCCTACTTCCCGTTCATCCCTCTGAGCTTCTTAGGTCCTTGGGTTTTGTTGTTGTTTCATTTTCCCCCATCATTGCATTACTTGTACCCCAGCTTGGTTCCTTTTGGTACAAGCACTGTGAGCGTTACCTGTTGCTGCAGACTTCTCTGACAACTAGTTTACATTTGAGCAATGCATTGTGCTGTGCTGACTGCACACCAGTGACCACTGCATTTGGAGCTTTACACGTCAATTTGCATGCCCTGAAGGCATTTTTTTTGATGGGCAAAGTTTAAAAAGAACTTTTTCAACCATCACACCAGGGCACTCAGTCCTCTGCCACAACTGAGTCATTAAACCTTTATGTCATTCTTCCTAGCAGTGAGCTCATACTCATGTTTATTCTAGTTTGGGGTGCCCGTATTCCTGAGCATCCAGGTCACAACACCCACAGTAGTACCAGATGTCATGTACCATTAATTCCACATGCAAAAGCTTGTTATTTTGAAGAGCTCAAGACAGACACAAAAAACAGTAGAATATGTGCTTTTGAGGTTTGGTCTTGATAGAAGACTTCTACTTGACCAAAGGGGCTGGACTGCTGCATCACATGGAAAAACAGCGCTTACATTTATGCCTGTCACCATTATCAATGTGCCTGTTGCAGAGGGCTTTCCTGCCAAAGCATTTAAGCACATGCTCTGTGCTTTATTTTGCCAATGTATAAAGGCCATGCTAGAGCAGGCTGTATTGAACACTGCCTTTTAGAGGAGTGAATTTAAATTACACACTTGCCTAATTAAAAGATGCCTCTTTAAACACGGAAAATAGAGCATCCACCTTTCTGCTTTCACAAAAGGCAGAATATAAGACCCCCCTCCTCACCTCCACATTTCCACTGCCCTCTGGCAGTGGTGCATGGCTATGGTGGCACTCTTATCACACACTCTTGAGAGCCCCCACCACTCCTCTGGCAACTGCAGCACATGCCTGAAAGAAGACAAAACAAAAGTAGTTTAGTTGCAAGAAAGAGAGCAGTAAGGCTCACACTGTAATTTCTCCTCTACTGAAGGTTTTACTTTTTTTAGCTTTGTTCTTCTCCTATATGCTACATTCTCTCCGTCCTTGAGAAAGCAATAGGTACCAGATGCTGTCAAGATAACACAAAGCTAAGCCCAGAAGTTATATTTTCAAATCTTTTATAAAATAAGCATCTGTACTTTCTCCACTTGTGTCTGAGTTCCTCTATTACCTTCTAGTATTTTTTTTTTTCAATTATTGGCTGATACCCAAGTAGGTGAAAGTATTTCAGTCCCATCCCATCTCTAGGTTCAAAGAAAGAAAAAAAAAAAGAAACAGTGTAAGGTTGATCACACACTTGTTAATAAGTCAAAGCCGGATTCAAGTGTTTGTGTGAGGTAGAATTATCTCATTCTTTTTGTCTGTGTCTTTCTGTGATCTACCAGTCAAGTATGTGATTGGATTTCAGCTCAACAAAACCTTAAATTACACACCTATTGTGCCTGAGCTAAGCCTAGTTTCACAGCACTGGAGAAGGCTCCTCACTGCTCTTTTGGCACTGTTCGATCTGGCTTCTGCTATCATCCGCAGGTTGATGAATGAGTAATAGGATTAGAAAGTCTCATCTCTGCAATGCTGTAATTGTCACATTTGGTGAATTGACAAAGGGCTCGGGTGATGGAGAGGTGCTCGTAACGAGAAGTCAGACGTTCGACCTGCACTCTCCGGCCAACATGAAGAGAATGGGAGGGATAAAAAGAATCCCTCCAGCTCTCCATTTGCTCAACATGCACAGGTACCACATGCTCTAAATTAACCTTTCATGCATGGAAGGCAGAGCGCTCTGCCTCTTAAAGGATCTTATCTCAGCACGAGGAAGATGATATACTTGTTGATTCTTTGGCTGGGGCAGGAGGTTAGAAAGTCGAGGAGGACTGGGAGCAGATTTTCCCATTCTCTCCTGGAATCTTTAATTCAGAAGACCTGAGCAGAGATGTCTCCAGGCCAGCAGAAGAGCAGTGCACCGCAGCTGGGATCCCAGCCGGCCATCGAGGAGGGGTGACCACAGTGCTCCCTGCGGGCCCACCACTAACAGCTATGGTGTGCTGGAGCACAGCTGAAGTTCTCAGAAGCTCCCAAGATGCCAAGTTCCCCTTTCAGAAGGGCAGGTTTACAGGTAAGGGGCCTGCCTAAATAGCTAGGCAAACACTGCACTGTAAGGCCTGGCAGCAGAGACCCAGCAGAACAGATAGCTAAAACCTGCCAACTGTTTGTTTCTTTTATTTACTTTTTGTTTTAATTTCCACTGCCTACAAGCACTGACAACACCCCTGTTTCCAAAGAGAAGAATGGAAATTAAAAAACTGCAGTTGGGCAGTTCTGTGTTGTGAAGCACTGCCTTCTCGTGAGAAACAGCTTCACGCAGTGCATACAGATCAACAGGGAACTTGATTCCTGCCCACCTTTCACTACCAAAGGCTATCAAAAGCCCGCATCGCTCCGGCTAAAGGAACGTGTCCCCAAATGCTCTACAGATGTAGCATGTGAGGTCAACATTCACCATCCCCTTTCTCTGTCAGTGTGAGTTTCATTTTAATTACAAGAGCATGTTTTGCACATTGTAAAACTACCCCTGGCTCTGACCACCATAAGAAAAGGAACATTTAGCTCAGGAAACAGTAGCTGACCCTGTCTGCTCTCTTTCTTCCTTGGCATCAGCTTGGACTATTAACACCTTATGTGTGTTGCCGGTGCGTCCCACATATGTGTGCTCTACATCCATCTCATGCAGTACCTGTCGTAAGTGCATACTAAAAGCTTCCTACTGGGAATTCTCTGCTTTGACTCCTCTTCTGGCGTCTCACTTAGCCATTGAACTTATCTGCTTGACAGAGAAACCTTTCTGCGTGCTAGAAGCTTTGTCCTTGGGAAGCTGTGACATTAGACTTAAACACATAGAGGCCTTTTTCACCTTGCAGTTAACTCCTTAATTATTCATTCCCAACAGAGGAAATCAGGAGAAACCTTGGCAGCCAATGTAAACATTTTGTGGTGGAAGGCAATTCTTTTCCTTCCCGAGAGCACAGTACGACCATGATAGTTCCTCTTCTAAAAATTAATGGATTTTGCACAATTTTTTTTTTTTTTTTCCAGGGAGGGAGAGAGGCACAGACTATTGCAGAGCAAAAAGCCCCATTTGACAGTGACTATTTTGCTCCAAGAGTCACTTGCCAACTGAGAGCAAAGACCCAGGTCTTGGAAGCACATTTCACCTAAAATGTTCCCTTTGCCCCACGCCAGCACAGAGCAGCCACCCTGGAAGCACTCAGCAGCACCAGATGAGAGCACACAGCGACTGCTTTGCAGATCTTCCCCCTGGTGTGGCAGCAGCTCCGAGGCTCTGCATCAGGCCCCGTCTCACTGCCAGAGCACTTTTCCCATTTCCCACACAGGATCTGAAGCAGCCGCCTTTTGGAGCGCTCGGTTATTAACGGCAATAGATGCCCTGTGCAAACAATTTGCAGAACTAGCACTACAGACAACATTTTGGCAGTCTCGCCGTAACCTTAACTGAAACACACAACGTTGGCCTGCTCCCAGGAGCCATCAGTGGGAAGCACACACAGCAACGGGCCACCCACTTACTGTTTTCTTAGAGAAAGTTTGCCAGCAGTGATATGCAGCTTGCACCACCTTCCTGAAACATTTCCACACTCGCCGTGCCTGCACAGGGCTGCCCTCAGCAACACCTCTGCTTTCAACCTGCCCTGCTCCACCTCCTGCTCCTGCCACGCAGCCCAATCTCCTCCTCACGTTGCTTCCTCTTTCTTCATCACCTTTTCTTGGCTTTGTGCCTTGTTTCTTGCTGTTCCTAATACCCGGGACAACCTCTGATTAATGTTCAGCAAACAGCCTCCTCCACAGATCAGACTGCACCCAAGCATGCTCTGTTTTCTCCTGTTCAGCGCTATCCCAACTCATGCCCTTCCACCCTCCCCGAGCAAGGGCCCCGACCTGCTGACTGAGCAGCACCATCAGTTCCTATGAGGAGACTGGGCTGCTCGCTGTGCCGTCCCACTGCTGCTTTCTGTGAGCAGCCAGGGGGTCAACTCATGGATCAATCCAATCAGCAATACCATCCACAAAGTGAGAATCTTCCTAGAGCATGTAGCTATTCCCTAGCTCTGTTCAAAGCACAAAAACACAGGCTAGCAAGGGGGTAGGGACGGCCCCACAGCACCTCTCTCTGTTCCCAGCTGCTTTAGGTTAAGGCTTGGATGCAGGAACAGAAGAGATCAGAATGCGATGCTGCACATGGCCAAGTGGAGGCGGTCACCAGGACGGCCTGGTTGGATGCAAGCTGCCATATCTGCATTGCAGCCTTTGGAAAAATCCACCTCTGTGACTCAGTCATTGGTAAGGCAACGTTTACAGCAGGGAACTGTTAGAAAATTTTAGTCTGATTACTAACAAATATATTTTTAGCTCTTTTAGGCTACTTCATATATTCAACCTTTCTCTGGCCAAGAATGACTTCGCTCCTTGAGAAAAGATAAGCTAAAATGGAAAGCGGTTGGGTGACTTCTCACTGTATTAAATCCAGCCTTTTCAGGACCAGCAAGGTTCCCAGCATTACGCTGTTTTTGTATTAAAATCTAATTCTGAAAGTTTGACAAAGCGCACATTTAACACAGGTCAGCAGTATATTGACAGGATGTTAATTTTAAATTGTGTCAGCATTTCCTGTCTTGAGTGTTAATGTCAATTAGCACCTTGCTGCATAACCTCCAAGTCCCCCCTTATTACGGGAAAGTAGCAAAGCAGGCAGCAAAAGCACTTCTATTCAAAACACCACTCACTATCAGCCAAACAAAGAGCTGTCATAACAAAACCTGTGAGGTGAAAGTGCCTAAGCTGCTATGGATTTGAGGTTAGAAGCCTTAGTCTTTTTCCTTATTCTTGATATTAAAAGTGTAAGCGTGTCAACTTGGAGCGAAAGGCTAATTACTTCGAGGCTCTTTGAAAAGTGCGTTACCATTCAAAATCTCTAAGCCTGACATAAAGCCCTTGGCTTTAGATTGCACAGCGTGTAGCTCACTGTAGGTCACCCGTGAGTATCCTTAACACACAGAAATACGCAGTCCTGTTCCGGGAAACGTGAACACTCCTGCATGCCTGCTTTTTCCAGCGCTTCACACGTGCTGTGGAAAACAGACATCCTACAGCCTGCAGCAGCCAGACCCGGCTCTCACTCTGGCCAATTCACAGCCCTTCTCCAGAAGCACTGTATGAGGGCTTCATCACAAACTTCACCCAATTCTCACGCTGCTCCAAGATCCGACCGCAGCTCACAGTGTGCACGAAGGTCCAGCTGCACACACATCTGGGCTGGGTACCTTTCCTTGCTCTTCTCTGTTACATCCAGCAGTGTAGATGCCCAGGGTAAAGTCTGGCTTTCCTTAGGTCAAACAAAAGCTGTGCCACGAATTCGCTCCGTCTTGTGAAGAATACAAATGTGCTCCCAGAATGACAGCACAAGTCTCAGGACATATAGCCTAAATTCTGAAGAAAGCTGGCTGGTATTGCACTCTATTGTGAGAATGGAATTTTAATGGAAGAGAGAAAATGTTACAGTCTTTCCAGCCAGCTCTTATTCCAGGCCTTGAGGACTATTCAGCCAAAATATTAAGATGAGGATTTTCACCAGTAACTCACTGTAAAGCCCAGTGCTGGATGTCTGGGAGCAGAGCTCCCACCGAAGACCATGAATGCTCAAATTCTGAACAATGGTTCAAACACGAGCTCGCTCCCAGTGCTGGATATCAGTTCCAAGTACAAATGCCCAACAAGGAGCTTTTGGAGGGCAACTCAGCTCCTACCTTTGTTTCTTTTGAGCGCGGAGTCGAGGTGTGGCCAGGCACTGTGTGGTAAACCTTGAGATGTGGTGCAGAGATGAGACAGGCATTATGCACAGACACTGAGCCGAGCGCTTATGCTCTGCCAGATTCTAAACAAATTGGCCAAACAAATTAATGCCACACACCCTAAATTGGCTGAACAAATTAATGCAACACGCCCTTTGCACAAGGGTGCCTTTGAAGGCCAAGGACCGTGCATGTTGCAGCGAGATGTGTTCTCCTGAATAGGCTGTTCCAAACAAATGTGTTCAGCGAGAACAGAAACGGCATATTATAGTTTCAAGTTAGAGCAGGGCTTTCGCTCGAGAGCTTTTCAGACACCAATACTGTGTGTTGACATTTAATTACTAAACTCTTAAAACAAATTTGTATGAGCAAATGCTCCTCAATCATTTCATAATAACACAACCAGTGTTTCTTGGCAGTTAGAACAAAACCAGAAACATGTTGAAATCGCACACACAATGCCTTGTTCTGACACGGGAAGAGGTGCCAGACTGAGCAGTGTGAACCCTCCAGGCTGTGGGAGCTGACGGGATTCAGGAACTGAGTACTGCAGCTCTGCTCCCGGGGGCTGGCAGCAAATCAGCCCCAGCAGGTTCACTGGGAGGTTGCAGTTTACCAAATTTCATTCTCCAAACAACTCTCCCTCCTCCAGCGAAAGGTCCTATCATCCACTGAGGCCCAAAGCTCACAGTGGAAGATTACAGAGGGTGCTTTCATGAGGCGGTTGGTGAGACGCAGCAGCCTGGCAGGGCAGCAGGGATTGCCTTTGGTTGCTGTGTGAGTGTGGTGTACCTACATCAATGGAGTATTTCCTTCCACCTTCAGTGTGATCCACTGCACATCTCTGCTACTGAGCTGTAGGGTTGAATGCCAGTTCCAGCCAACATGTAAAACAGCTTCGCTTTCTCACTCCCCTCTGGTACAAGATCTGTGTCACTGCAGCAGAACACTGCACTCTGGAGCAGGTCTTCAAGTCTCTCTCGTTCTCATGGTATCTATTATGTCCTCATTCTCTTTCCGCGCTCTTCAGGACAGTGCCTAAGACTTAATTTTCTTAATTTTGGTTCTTAATAAGGAATGAAAAATCTCCATGCAACGTATTCCATCTTAGCTATACACTCTCCTTTCCGTGGGACTTTTGCGAAAAGTAATTTTAGAAGGATGTTAAAGGAATGAGTCACTTTCTGATGAGACACACTATCACTGTAATAGCTTTGCAAGTACAAATTTCAACTTTGGTTTGCTGTGCTTCTCCAGGACCAGTCCTCATAGATATCTTACAGTCTGCCAGCTAAAAGGCCCCTTTCTCCTGAATTTAATGTGAAATAATTGTTGAATTGCAACACCGGGATCCACTGGAACTGCTGCTCCCCAGTTCCTCCTTCACTCCCTGCACTTTCATTCACCTACTTGGGGTACCTTGATTCTTCCCTCCACTCACTGTTGCACTCTGATCTACCTACAGCTTTCTTTCCCTTCACACAACCCAACTATTCCCCATGCATCTTTCATGTGCCCATGCTCACTGATGACACACTGCGTCACTGCAGCACATCCCTCCTTCCTGTTTCTACAGATGTGTTCCATCTCTCCTAAGTAAAGCCAGGATTTGAAGTGGACACTGGTGAATGAAAATCCATATACACAACCAGCTGCTAGAAGCACATCGGTTTCGATGCTGCAGGACCAGAATCTGATACACAAGATCTCTTTTTGAAGATTCAAGTGGAGTGTGCAGTTCTGGGGAGAAACTTGAGCTGAAATGTCTTCCTGACCATTCAGGCTTTAATAACAGTCCGAGCTTGCATCTCAAACTCACTATGCCTTCAGAAACGCTAAGATTGTCCCAGCACTCTGCCCTCCTCTCTAATCAGGAGCCACCTATTGTGTTCCATTTTTCTCTCTGAAAATTGCCACAGCAACCTTGCTATCAGCTCAGTATCTTACCATTAGCAACGAGGGCAAGTATGTGGTGTCCTTGACTTGTCAGCTAGAAATGCCTGGCCCCCATTCTCTCTGGGGAGCGAGCCTATAAGCTCTGTAATGCATTTAACCTCTACCACCTCCGAGAGTAAGAGTCTCCACAAGCAGTTTGCTGCTGCCCCACCCCTGAGCTAACTCATTTACCTTATTTTTTCTTACAGTGTTCAATAAATCACGCTCCACCCTTTAAAAATTATTATGGTTAATATATGACTTGCTAAAGAGATGCAATACACATAACTAAGTTACAGCTTTAATCTCATAACACAGAACATTAATAAATGTTGCAAGGCTCTGAATTAATAGCCTGACTTGTATTTACGTATTTAGACATGCTTGTATTTGTATACTTCTCTTACCATTAATTACAACATATAGACCAGATTCTGATCTCCATGTCAAAGGGAAAAAAACACCCAGAAACCATGACTGCCATTGCAAAGCATCAAAAGAAATACAGGGCTTTGTTAAAATTACTAATTCCTATTGGAAAACAATGAACAGCTGTTTTTCTACAAACAAGAATTTCATTTGAGTTCGTTTCGCTTTCGTTTCAATAGCCTGATTTTTAAAGACAACTGTATTCTTTCTCTAGTCCTGAAAGTTTTATTAAATTTGATAAAGGCCATATATCCCTTGGGTAGATAGTTGGTTCAGTAACAATCCAGCTGCCCAAACACAAATGCTTAAAGTAAGACCAACTGTTTGAGCACAGGCTGAAGACGTGCAAGACCAGCGCTGGGCAAATACTTGGAAATTCCTCATAACATTCATTTCCATTGTTTTATTTGTTTGCTTTATCAAATATTCAAAGAACAAACCAGGAATGTTTACCCAAGCACGAAAAATGACGAGGACCATAGAGAACACATTTCATGTTTGGAAACCCAAAAACACTCAGCAGAAAATGACATTATTTTTGACAGACAATTTCTACATAAAACCAAGAAAACACAAAGTGTCATGAGACTTACCTTAATTGAGTTAAGCCTGAGAGAAATGATGGTTGTTGCCATTTGGAAACCACAAGTTTGAAAATGAATGCGTCTAAAAGAAAAATAAAGCACAAGATTAAAAAGCCAGCCCAATAATCTTGAAGTTCTCTGAATTATTCACAGCATCAAAGAATTTTTATAATTACCAAAAGGAATGTAAAAGCCTGTGAATCTTGACAATGGAAGCCATGGTACTGCCACAATTCAGGACTGTGGTACATCTTTATTAAACCTGACCTGGAGTCCAAGAAACTGCATGTTGGTGGCAGCACCCATAGCATGGACCCTTTTGCAGCATCAACCTATATTTCGAACATTTGGTGCCAACTTTTTACTACTGTGGAGTTTTCCACACATTTCTCAGAAGCATCACCAGCTGGGGAGCTGACTTGGGCCATGGCAAGGAAGAAAATATTCTGCTGGTCTTCCTAGCGGAAGGTATAATTTTTAGGGAAAAAAGTAATATTTCACATTTTTCACTGCATCTTCCTGGATTTTGTCAGTTCAACTTCATTAAAGCTGCAAACCCCTTAGTCACATGAGCTTACTTGAGAATCCCAATTAACGTGTAGACAAAGGAGGTCTCTGTTAGGGCTCACAGAAGTGTACAAAAGCCTCAAGCATGCTCCAGAGTCAAAAAAACACACAAAAGCATACCTCATCTATAATCTTTGGGAAATTCATACCCAAATTCTTGACTTTTTTGTGCACGCACAGGAAGAGTGATGATCCTAGCTTTTGCATATCATCACCAGCAATACTGACTGTGAATTTTTAATGAAACTGCTATTTATTAAATCAGCTTCAACCAATTTACACAACTTTGCATATTAACCACTGGCTGACTCGGAAGTGTCAGTAAATGAATAAACTAGATTTTAAAGGAAAACATAATGACATGCTCTGACAACATCACTGATAGTTCAAGGATAATGACCTGCATCAGATCCTACTTTAAAGCATCTGGCCCAAGGAGGAAAGGTTTAGTGGCTGAAATTCATCCTACTCCATCAGATACATTAATCCATAGCATAGAATTCTTCTAAATCCACTCTGGGTGTTTATTACCCAGTTGTTGCTGGGTACCATCCACGTATCTCTCAAGTAACCATGCCCATACTCATAACCACCTATAGAGCTCTCCTTGGAGCACCCTCTGACCACACGTCTGCTGTCCTGAAGCAGATCACAACAACATGGGGATGGGGAAGCTGAGAATGACAATTTCCTGAAACAAATGAGAGAAGTAGCACATGCCAAATCACCACAGGACCTTAATCACAAAAATAATTGTATAACGTGGCTTAACAAAGCAGATTGCTACCAAACCTGCATAGTCCTTAGGACTTCAGGAAAGACTGATGCACAAAGATAGATTGAAATGGAGCTTCTAGGCCTGGACTGAAAAGGATATCAAGGCAAGAAAGATAAGCTGCGAGTTAAAGCTTTTTCTTCCTCCCAAACTGGCAGGTTCAGTCATATAAATCCCTAAAACAACAGCAGGACTATTGGGAATGACATCCTTTTTGAGAGTCAGAAGTAAAGCACCGGCATTTTCCAGTTCCATGTCCTTATTGAGATAAGAAAATATCCTGCCTATGCACTTCCACTTTCTAAAAAAGAAAAAAAAAACAACAAACCTCTTCCAATGCTGAAGTGGCCAATAAATGAACCCTACGTTCCCAATCTTCTTTTTTCAAATGCCACAATTCAGAAGAAGGTGAAGTGCTATCGGGCTAGTTTACAAGACTGGACAGAAAGGATTCTCTGCTTAATACGGAAATGCCTAATGACAGATTATAAGGCAGACAGCATTAATGAGCAGGTCATTTGTCTCTAAATGAAGGGATCACAACCCAGAGGGTTTTATTTGAACCAGCCTTCGCTCTTTAAGAGGTTTTCATTTCAGGTGAGAATCGGTACTAAAATTACAAACTAGGAATGACAGAACACATTGGGAGTAAATTTGCAAGCCAATCAACTACTGAAAGGAAGAGCCTTCGTGCACTGGATCCATGGCTTCTGGAAGGCTCAGGGCACCCCAAATAATTTATCTGGCGTGTCTGGGAACATTCCTTGCACGCTGTGGACAAAGGGAAGCTGAAGCTTAGACGATGGAGTCCTATAGTCAGGGCTGAGGGTGGAAAATGGCAAATCTGCCAATTAAAAGCTATAGAGAAGATGACACTTGAGGAAAAGAGAGGTCTCCATGGGAATGTGACCACAGTGACCATAGTAATGGCCAACATGCAGTGGAAACAAAGACCTAACAGACTTTTGCTTCGCAAACAAAATATATTTAAAAATACATTTAGAAGTCAATTTGCAGTTGTTGGACTTACTTCAGTTTTTGAGCATATTTAATTTCAAATAGTGAAAAATGCATCTCCCACATCTACTGATAGATAAGGCTTCCCCCAGATGAAATTCTGCTGTTAACAATCTCTGCAGGGCAGAACAAAACCTGCAACTTGAACCATCCTGTATATTTAGTAAATTTAAATGAGCCCTGGATGTTCTGAAACTCTTGTAGGCAGGTAAAGCATTTATCAAGTAGTGGTTCTTGCTCAGATCTTACCCTCTTCAATTCCTCCTTTCCGTTAATGCTGAACTGTTTGTCCACCAGCTGCACTGATAATTTAGGCCTAAATAATTGGATATATTGAGTAAATAAGATAACAACCCAACATTTTAAGCTCACACAGCTCTTCAAGGGTTTCATCTTTACCCTGCTAGTAAATGCCAGTGGAAAGTAGAGGAAAACATAGTATTTCCGTGTGGCATGCTACTCATGCAAACTCTTCCCTGCCAGCCCTGTTCAGGCTGCATAGCATAAGCCACAACTGCTTAATTATCATGTGTTCTGCCAAAGGTGCAGTCAAGGGTGTTTATAAGGAAATGGAGATGGTAAGCCAAATTTCATTTGCAGATCAGACACACCTGCTAGCAAACAAAGCCAAGGTTTTAGGTACAGATGAGATCAGTAGTTCTGTCCTCCAGGGAAGGCGGCTGCACCTCAAAAATTAATGAGTAATTTTTCAAATTGATGTTGTAAGTTAAACTAGTTATTTTCACAATTAAGTGCTTTACCAAGCATTTAGGAAACAGCAGTTTCTCATTGGACAACCAGTTCTGAGGTCCAACTGGTGAAGATACCATGCAAACCCAAGGTTATATAAAATCTTCTTAACCACTCCATGAATACCACTGGGAAGTAAAGTAAGGATATATCTTTGCAGGGCAGGGAGAGGACACTGCAGTCCAAACTGAGTAGTTTTCCGGACCACAGTGATTATTCTACTTGCTTCTACAAAGCCAATCTTTACATTACAAATCCTACTAATAATTATTAGTTATTTTCTCCTTAAGCCCTGCAGTGGTATACTATAATAATCAATACTTCGCTGCTACACTGATGGAGGAAAAAAATGAGGCAACACACAAGACTGACATTGAAATCAACTACAGGGTCTGCAAATACAAACTAGGCCCCTATCTCCTGTCCAGTCTCCTTGCCCCCACTGTATGTTGAGGCCATCCTTGCCAACCCTTCTTAAGCCAAACTCACCCAGAGCCCACTGCCAGGCCAGCTATGGCTTCCTTGTAATGCAGTGCACAGGCCAGCACAGATGCCAAGGAAACACAACATTTCTTTTGGCAGTCGAAGACAGGGAGTTGATGAACTGAACTCACACTGTGTGAGTTTGGGTAAGGTTTTCTTTCTTGCCTAGGTTTACTACCATATATCAGTTCTTACATACAGGCTGATCCTGTAATCCTAATGCTAAGCTTAAGGCCAAGGAGAACTGCAAAAGATGTTCTTTATACAAAACAGACGTAATGTTCTGCTGCATCTCCTGCAACCAGAGAAGCATGTATCCATGCTGGAAACCAGCTGAATTAAAACTATTCCTCCACCAGAGTAAATACTAGCTTTGTTGTTACTGTTTCCCGTGCTGTTTATAACAGGAAAGCTTTTGTTGTGTTTTACTTGGATTTTCCCCTGCCTTTTGTTCATCCATACAGCAAAGAAAAACACAAAGTTTAAGCTGATGAAACTTTGGGTCTGCTCCAAATCACATGTTAAAAAAAAAACACTGAAAAACAAATACAGCCCTGGCAGACAGAAATGAAGGGCCAGCTATCCCCGTTATGCTGAAGACATTCACTTTTATTACATTACATATGATACAAGTCCTAGCTGTCAAAATCCTCAGGAGCACCTAAACAGATAATAAACAATCAGTGAAAGACTTATGGCTACATGTTTTTCATAGTATTGGAAATCACCTGGGAACCATATTTTAATGGAAAATACAGCTTGATGGAGACAAGCTTCAAAGATTTATGAAGAAACTGCAGCACAAATCAAGTGGAGGGTTTAGCTTTCCAAAATGATATGGAAGCGCTAGAAAATAGCACCAAAAGGAGAAAAAAAGAAGAAAGGACGAAGAAGGACACGCAAAGAGGGAAGGAAGGAGTGCCCTTCTAATGATTTATGCTGCAGAGAAGGAATATGCCTACTCGTGATCCCGTTACCCTTACTGCTCCTTGTGATTGTTATTCTTCCCCTAAGAGAAGCGGTCATGTTACTTACTGACAGAAAGTTACACCTCTTCAATGTGATTTGTCCACTTAAAAGAACATTTATCATGTTGCCAGTTTATAAATCATTTAGGCCAACGAGATTAAGGCTATAGGAAGCCAGCACCCCTAACTGATTCTCATGCCAGATAATTCACAGACCCGCATTTGTTTACACTAAACCTTATCAGCCAAAACAGCAGAGCCTGATGCCAGCTAAATGCTGTGGTCTGCAGGAGAGCCCAGGACGAGGAGCAGTGCTAGCACAAAGCCCTGCCCTGACTGCAGCTATGCCTGCACCCTGCCAGCCTCCAACAGGGCATCCCTAGGATGAGCAGCTCTTCTTCCACACATTAGAGGAGCAGGGCCTCTGCACAGCAATGGGACAGAAACCAAAGAGATTCCATCTCAACCCACACGTTGTATCCAACTTGTACAGGGGAAAGGGAAAAATGTATTTTCACTGGT